CCTGAGAGAATGTTGAGTCCAAGCTGGGAGCCATGGCGGCAAGCATGGCCAGCAGAGCGGGGCCCGAGCGCTGCGGCCTGGCTTGCCTTGCACCCGTGCCACAATGATGACTCCAGCAGCCCCTGTCAGGCCATTGCAGTATCTGATGGCCCACGCTGGGCACAAGTTCTTCCCAATGGCCAGCGTAAACCTCCCTTGGCCCAGCTTCCAAGCCTTGTTGGCATCTGCTCTCTCTTGTCCTTGCCCACCTGGCTGGCGCTGCCGTGTTGCTCGCTGGCCTGTCTGTGGGAGAAGAGGCTGTGCCAATGAGTGCTGCTCAACTTGGAGGCCATTCAAAGGAGGATTTGATTGTGCCTGCTGTGGGAAGAAGGAATATGCGTGCACATGGCCACTTCCCATAGGTTTTACCCCAGATTTTCATGAGCAGCTGTCCTAGTGAAAGTCAAGTCTGTTTTAGTGAGTATTTGAGGGCTTCCAGAGCACAGTGCCATCTCAGGGGAATTCTGCTGGTTGAGTTCTACTGAGGCTTTGAGATGAGTTGCAAATCCTGAAAATGTTCTCCTTGCCCAGGTAGTAATTTCACAGTTTAGACTGTGGGGATATTGATTGCTCAGTGTTGAGGACCTCATGTAACTTTCAGCCCCAGAAACTTTCAACCTCCAGTGATTGTCCTTGAGACAAAACCATTTGAAATCTTTTTTTCTGTGGACAGGAATTGCTTCGGTGTTACTTCACATCATCCATTAAAAATTTGATGCCTGGAACAAATCCCGAGTGCTGTGTGATTTCCTTGGTCGTGTTCTTTGGAATGGCTTCCCCCTCATTTTGTGAAGCTGGCCCCAGAAAGGTCATAGATGGGTGAGAAGTTCTGAAAGGCCAAGTGGTGCAGATCTTTGCCTCCTGTTTCGAGGTCTGCGGTGAGCTGTGAGTCCAAGAGCTGATCTGACGTGATGGTGAAAACACAGTTGTCGTGGTTTTAAAGCAGTAACTGAAAAAATACTAGAAAACTTACTTATTTCTTGCTGTGAGATATGGATTAGAGCAAGAGCAAAACAGGCTTAAAACTTAAAAGGAATAAAGAAAGTTTATTCACAAAACTACAAGAATAAGAACACCAGAATAAACTTTCAGAAAACCCTTTTATCCCGCACTACCCAGCATTCCCTTGTTCACATGACAAGATAGAGACAAAAGACTTTGGAACTTTGGTGTTTAAAACAGTCCCAATTCTTGCTAGAGTCTCTTTATCAGTGTTTGTATAGAAACAGAAATCTTCTTCTGCTAATCTATGGAGTTTCTCACAAGAAAAATATTTCTGTTATAGTTTTCTATTTGTTTGATGCCAGCTGCCCGGAAATCTGCCATGAGTTCACTCCTCCCATTTCACATCACTCTGAGGTGTGTATGGGCCATGAGTCCTCTTCATCTGTCTCTGTGAGCTTCGCAGGAAAACAGTTTTCTCATTGCCCTCAAGGCCTCAAATCTTCCCTCAAGGCCTCAAATCTTCACTCCACTCTGTTCCAGCGCCTCACTGTATCACAATTACTCTACTTTTTACTCAAAATCCACACTTTGAACACTCCATGCTTCCCAATATACTCTGTCATGAATTAAAGGAGTTTTTTTCAGAACATGGTTGTCCATCTCCATAGCTTTAAGAGAAAAATATTTCAGCTTATAAAGCATCTCCTTATTCTCTCTTCCCTATCTAAAACTTAAGCCTTGTTTTTGTCCTATATTTTTCTAATACTAAAAAAAAAAAAATCTGTGTTTTTCTAAAAGTGAAAAAAAAAATAAAAAAATAAAGTAAAGAGTAGAAACAGAATAATATTTCTGAGAGGCAGGACATTTTTTAGTTTGTGTTGTCCGATGGAACAACAGTCACTTGAAGAAATTCCATATAGTAGAACATGTCACATTTGTCAATTTTAACCTGAAATTTATTAACAGGAATGTCTGTACTACGAACATGTGTTAAGTATAGGAATATATTGCATGTTTTCCTACTTGTAAGAAGTAAATTTCTGTCTTTACAAGCTAACACCATTAATTTCAGCTCTTAGTTATTCCCATTGCATATTCTTTTAAACAGACTTAATCAGACAAATTTTGTGTTATTTAGCAAGTAATGCTTGGTTATTACTACAAGTTCTTGAAGTCATAACACTTAAAATTGCAGTACATATATATTATTCTTACTATGATGATGTGAGTTGGCTGCTAGTCATTTAACTATATATAAGGTCTTACTATTTCTTAGTGCAATTACTTAAAATAAGTGTCTTGGAAATTGTTTTTATTTTTAGATTTAAAACTGTTCTTACTAAAGTTGATTTGTTAAAGATTGGACAATGTATATTTAATAATTAATGTTCCCCAGTGATATTTATTGTCAGTCAGGATTCACTTTACAGTCAATAAATAACCTAAAAAATCTGAATTTTGTAGCCAGTTTTGTCTAATTCTTAGAGCAATGCTTTGGGAAATTGGAGATATATATATATGAATATAAATATGTATATCTGCTATATACCTTTTTTATGATGGTTTTGTCCTACTACTGCAAATGTTTCTTTTTGTTTGTTTTTTCCTAACATACATAAAATTTTCTTAACCATATTTAAAGCTACCAGCTTGTTATTCTGACAAAACCCTGTGAGAATAAATTATTTTTATTAATACTCTACATGTCAAAACC